TATTGACGAAGGGATTATAGTTTCACGGTAAACGAACGAATTTGGTTTTGTCATACCACGTGACATTTCCCGTCACATGTATTGCCCTATCATGGTCGGGAACCTAATGAGTCACACACAAAAGAGAATTGGAAGATTGCCAATTGGTTAATTTAATAATCGTTGGATAAATTAATTAATTGGATTTGTTATTTATATTTTCGAATTAATTAATTAGATTAATTAATTCATGGACCGGGTTTAATTAATTGGATTAATTAATTATTGGACCGGATCGGGCCGAGCCTGTTTGGATTTATATAAATACATAACTAGGGTTTGAGGTCCATAAGGTTTTCATTATTCTTGCTAGCACAAGAGAAAACTCTAGAAGCTGCAATCTTATTCTCTGTGTGGATCACCGTTGGAGGCTGGACAATTGGACAGCTGTGGTGGCGAATCAAGGTTGATGGAGCGAAAAGAAAAGCAAAAAGATTACAGATCTGGAAAAGGTACAATCTTGTCACAATCTCTATCTAAACACAAAGGCGATTCTTGGTGGGAATCAAAAATTATTTTAAATTCCGCTGTGCATGTATAAGTAGATTCTCAACAGGTAATAATTGTTGATCCACTGAGATACGTGGATAAAAAGTGATTTCAACGATTATTAATCAATTTATAAATGTTAGCCAAACGTAGACTTAATCTCCCTCCAACATGGCTAACTCTCGGAGGGAGTTTACGTGAGTTCTTGCCACATTCAAGATGCAAACCCACTTCCTCAAGATTACTTTAATTTTTTTGCTTCTTTTAAAACCTAATGTCTATCCTTTTCGTGCATTATGCATCAACCTTTTGCTATACCATTCTTTGATTGTACTCCTTTTGCATTTGCTTTCCTACTTTCCCAAATCCCTTTCTTTGCTTTCTCTCTCTTTTCACACACAGAATCACATTGCTAAAGTGGGAAATGCAACTTTTTTATTATAAATTCGACTAGCAAACTTGCAACTCATGGAGGTTGGCCTAATATGGATCATACAGGCAAGGCCTTATTTATATTGATAGATCGGTTCGTGTTAGGCTTGTTATCAAGTCGACATGTTTTTACTTACACATATGTTATTGCTACAAATTTATAATGTACATAATATAGTACACTCAGATCAACAACATTGTCAATTAATTAATTGAAATGGTGTACATTGATCATAAGAAAAGATCTGGTTCTAACTACTGTAAATTTACCCGTTCAATAGTTTCATTCATTAAACTTTGTAACCAAATTTCCGAAGACTTGATCAATTTTTGCTATAGATTTTTATGAATAAATAAGCATACACATAAAAATTCATAAAATTGTCCTACTGTCAATGTAACCTAATATACTATAAAAGAAAAAAAATTAAAATTAAAATATCATCAATTTAGTTTTCAATTCTTTTTACTTATATAAATTAAACAAGCTATGAGGGTTTGTTTGGTGCTTGTAAAGTTTCAATAATAAGATATTAGGCTTCTTGAAGAGTTTTTCCATAATATTTTATTTAAACAATTACATATTAAGTGAACTTACTTTGTTTGATAAGTTTCAAATTTGTATTCCCAAATTCGAAATGGGATCCACCAAAAGATGATATTGCAAAGAAAAGAATCACCAAACTCTTCTAAATATCATCCATTATTTAAGTGCCACAAAATCTCTCTCTCCCTCCCTCCTGCACAACAATCTTCATCTTTATTATATTTCTTGAGCTTCTTGTTAACATCGTCAGAATCTTCGGTGGCATTGTCAAACTAAAAGGTAACCTCCCATGTGATTGTTTCTTCTTAACCTTAGTAATTGCCATTTCGATCTTTGTGTACTTGGTGTTTATTACTGCGAACAATGAAACATTCCAATTATTTTTCTACATGAGAATCTATAGAAACCTTGGTAACAAATATAAACTAGGAAACGATCCAGACATGATTTATCCTTGATTTATGGCATTGCTTATGTGCATAATCATCTAGAGTCTATTGAAATAAATAAATAGTCAAGAAAAGTGGTTAGTGTTATTAAAATTTTAACCTTCATTTAGGAAGAATTTAAAATTACGTGTTAATTTAGAAGTAGATAAAATTAAACGAGTGCTTGTGAAATAATCGAAATGTATGGTTGAAAATTAAGGGTGGTGTTTAATTGCATGGAACTTGTCAATTAAATGTCTTCAGTTGACTTCATCTTTAACCTAGAAGATGTTCTACTTCTTCATGAAATTGAATTTTTGGTAAGTGTGAATTGTCTAGAAAATAAAAATCTCCCTTCCAAAAAGAAAATATTTGTCTTGATTTTGAGAAAAATATGGTCACGTAACTAATTTTTAGAAAATATTTGTCATGAAAAAAATGTAAATTAAGCACCCCAAGAGTAGGAATTTTGGTTTAAAAAGAAAAAAAAAAAAAAGAAGAAGCCATTTTTCATAGAAAATAAAGTCATTCAAACACACTCCAAATTTAACTATTTTATAAATATTTTATAAATTTTCCAAACAGAGGCTTTGTTAGTCATGTCAGATTGCTCCGTCAGTAGATACATTTTGTGTATAATTATTAATTTGGAAAATTGCATTATTGATCATAACCTATGTTCTATGTGTCTTGGTCGTACTAAACCTCTCTTATGTGGACAGACATTTTGATCATCGACATTCTAAGTCTACGGCTTCGTCCAAATTTGTGTTTTCAAAGTCGAATTTATATGACGATTGTACTCTTTTTTAGTTTAAAAAACAAAAAAAAATTTTATTTACCCTATTTTGTTTCTTTCTATTATGCTCCTATTTGGTGGGGATTAAAATCATATTTTTAGTATATTTTGATAAAAGTTAATAAAGTATGTGGTTGAAAAGTTATACGTCCCATAAAATATGATTAAAATTAATTATTGATTTTGATTTAAATTAATATTTAAATTTTAATCTCCACCAAACATGGAATATATCTTTCCTTTAATTATTTTTTGTAAATAATTTATTTGTATTTACACATTTTACCATCAAACACACATAATTTTTTAGGCTATTCGTGCATTAAAATTGAAAGGTTGAAAATCTAAATATCTTGATTATCCCTCAGAACCTTCATTCTTATTTATAAATAAAGAGTGCTGCTAGCAAATTCAGTTCGATTTTTCTTAAGTAAAATACTTGAATATGTATCAGAATTAAGAATTGATGAATTAGGTTCAGCTCTTGGTTCTAGACTAAGAATCAAATAATCAAATCTTCCTAATTTTTTTATATTAAATAAGCCAAATTATTTTAATTTTTATATAAATTTGCCAACTAATTAAATGAGATCAAAAATATGATTTTTCGTGTTTCATTTGTCAATGAATTTAATTGAGCCCAAAATATTATTTTTCGTGTGTTCAGCCAAATCCAACTTTGTAATCCAAATCTCAAAGAATCAAAATTGAGTGGCCTAAGTTTTTGTCAATCGTTCGGCCGTTTCTCAAATAATCGAAGCTAAGGGGCTATGCCCTTTCATCTTACCATTTTTCCATACTATTGATTGAATTTCCTCCTATTTAATCAAGGTAATTTATATACATTGGTGAATGGATATTATTAGACAACTTATTATTTGTATATTTTTAAATTGAATTATGTTATTTTGTGAAAGTTAATGCAGTGTCGTTATAAGAACTAAGATTTAATATGTCATTAGTTGGATGAATGTAGTGTTGTTACAAATATTAAAAATTTTAATTATGATATGGAACTGAGCCAAAAAGTGCCAAAAAGGGTGATTATTCTTCTTATCCTTCTTGAAAACTTTTAAGACTTCTTCAAATTTACTATCAAATCTCAATACTCCTCCCACAACATTCCAATCAAAATACTCATTAGAATTTGAGTCACAATCCAATTCTAACACATCCCCCCCCCCCCCCCCCCCCAAATTTTAACCCACCCCCCCCCCCCACACACACACACGCTTCATACAACTCTCTCACTCTGCACAACACTCTTATATCTTCATCTTTATTATAGTTGCATATCTGCATAATCATCCAATGTCTATTAAAATAGATAAATAGTCTAGAAAAGTGGTATGGTGTTATTAAATTTTTATCCTTCGTTTTGGAAGAATTTAGAAATGATTTAATTTATAAATAGATAGAATAAGTACTTGTAAATGTACCAGAATGTGTGGTTAAAAATAATGTTTAACGAATTTATAATAAATGTTCCCAATCAAATACTTAGTTATTCAGGTCAGATTATTCTGATGGTATTTATTTCTTTTCATATGCAATTATTTATTAGGAAATTGCATGGTTGGTCCTAGTCTATGATCCATGTATCCAATTGGTGCTCAACCTTTAAATATGGACATTTTGAATTATTACTCAAACCTCCTTCTTGTTTATAGAGACTAGAAACAGCTCTGCAATTTTATTTTTCTTTTTTCATTTTTAAAATGAAACTATATTAGACTATATCTGATGTGAGATTATGGATTCGAGCCCTGAATCCACTTGCTTGAAAGAAAATGGTAAAAGAAATGAAAGAGTAGAATTGAGGGGGAAAATGTCTAATATTCTAAGATTCACCAAGGGTACGTACTAAGGTAACAAAATAGTTCCATAGACAGAAGCTGGCTTTATTGTTTAATGACATGCCAAAATGATACACTAAACACCCACCCGATTAAAATCAATAAGCATAACGACAAATCACTACATAGAGAACTTTCAATCCTATCAACTATGTTTCTTTCCAATTCCATATAGTTCATATAAATTTGTACACAGAATTGATCAGTTACTGGGGAATAATTCTTTTTCCTTGTGCTATTGATTTGTTAAAGTTTACTAAAAATTGTGGAGGAATGTAATTCTACGATTCTATTGAGTTTCTTTTAATGCTAACAGGTTTCTTTGATACTGCTAGAATATCTACTGTTTGAGCTGGAAAATTAATTATGGCTCTAGAAATACTCGTTTCTGTTGTTGGAAGGCTCACGGAATATGTTCACTTTTGTGCCAATTCAAGTATATGTTTTGCTACGACACGAAAATTCAAACTTTGATGGATAAGGTGAAAGCCCTTGAAACAAAGGAATCTGAGGTGCAAGAATTGGTTCGTGAAGCAAAAAATAATGTGGAAGCTATTAAACCTATTGTTGTAGATTGGCTGCAAAATGTTGATGAAATAAAGAAAAAGGCGGACAAAGTTTTTAATGGTGCAACAAATTCTGAAATGCAGTGCCTATTCCTTCGATGTCCAAAATTTGAAGACCCGTTACTTGATTGGCAAGAAATCCACAAAGAAGACGGTTGAGGTTGCTAAGCTGCAAGATGAAGGTACATTGTTTCAAAAGGTGGGCGAACCTAAACCACCAGTGGAAATACCTTACCAAAACCCCGGTGACTTGGGAGTTTTCGAAACAAGGATTTCAACTAAAAAGAAAATCATGGATGCTTTAAGGGACAAAAATGTCAGCATAATTGGGATTTGTGGCATGGGTGGAGTAGGTAAGACGACAATGACAAAACAAATAGCTAACGAAGCCAAGGTTGACAAATTATTTGATGAGTTTGCATGGGCAGATATATCTCAAGTTCCAAATGTAATTAAAATTCAGGATCAACTTGCTGAAAATCTCGGTTTGAAAATAAAAGATATTACTGATAAATATGTGAGAGCCGAACGATTTCGTGAAAGACTTGGAAGTGACAGAAGTAAGAGCATTCTTGTAATATTGGATGATGTTTGGGAAGATATTGTGTTGGAAACTATAGGATTTCCTTCAGCAGGGGATGATAAAAGGTTGAAAATTCTATTAACATCACGCGATAAAGATGTGTGCAAAAGAATGAAAGCTCAAAGGATATTCGACGTCAACATTTTAAATGAAAAAGAATCGTGGGAACTTTTCAAGGAAAAGGCAGAAATTTCTGATGACGTAACAAACGATATAAAGGGTACAGCAGAAGAAGTTACAAAGGAATGTGGAGGCTTACCTCTCACCCTTGTGACTGTCGGCAAAGCCCTCAATAAAAAATCAGAACATGTATGGAAGAATGCACTTGAAGAACTACGAAATTCTAGAGTGGCCTATATCAGAGGAGTGCAAAAGTTGGTATACTCAAGGATAGAGTTAAGCTATAACTATCTAGAGAGTGATGAAGCCAAGTCCTTGCTTTTGCTCTGCTCTTTGTTTCCAAAAGATCATGAAATTTCAACTGATGATATGGTTAGATATGCATGGGGACTAGAATTGTTTAAAGATACGACGACATTAATTACAACTAGATATAAGGTAAACTCGATTATTGATAATCTGAAAAGTTGCTATTTACTCCTCTCAGCTGATAATGGGTGTGTAAGATTGCATGATGTTATAAGGGATGTATGCTTACAAATTGCATCAAAAGACAAGCATGCATACATTGGTTTAAAGGAAAGGAATGGCCAAAACATGATAACAATGAATCGTACAATGCAATTAGTTTGACTTCAAATGAGCTGAACCAGCTTCCCAGTGGGTTAGAATATCCAAGCCTAAAGTTTCTACTAGTGATATGCAATCAACAATCATTGAACATATCCAAAGAATTTTTTGTCGATATGAAGGAACTTAGAGTTCTTGATATCACTTCTGTGAGGATTCAAATTCCATCATCAATCCAATTGTTGACCAATCTTCTAACTTTGTGCTTGGACGATTGTACATTAAATATTGAAAATTCTACTATTGGGAATCTAAAAAAGTTAGAAGTTCTCAGTTTTTATTGCTCTGATCTCGATCAGTTCCCTGATGATATAGCACAACTTAGTGACCTAAGATCATTGGATTTGAGGTTCAAGCACAACTCTAGCTATTGTCCACTTCCACATGGTATCTTATCACATTTGAAGAAACTGGAAGAACTATACATCGGTGTCATTAGAATAAGAGAATATGAACTTGAACAACGAGGGTACATAATTAAGGAGATAAGTTCATCGACAGATCTTAATACTTTCCAAATCAGCACAAATGATACTCAATTTTTGCTGCAAATATTAAAAGATATGTGCATTAAGAAGTTGGAAAGATTTCATATCGAATTAACCGATGTAGAATTTGCTCGTGATAACATCATGGAGTATTACTATTTCGGAAGGAGATTGCATATACATGGCATTATGTATGCGAGTGTGCTTTCACAGCCTGCAATTAACTTATCGATGAGGAGAACTGACCATCTTTCTATAGAAATGGACTTGAATAATATTGATGATCTTTCTCAACAAGTGATGGAGAGGAAGATTATGCTAGATGAAGATGGCTTCGAGTTTTTGAATGGAAATCATGCGACAGGGGCATTTGATAGATTACAAAAGATAGATCTAGATGGCATACCAAAAATGAATCATCTATTCAAGGGTGTCATCAAACCTCCATCACTCTACAGTCTTATGTTTCTTACTATTGGAAGTTGCCCCTCATTGAAAAGCCTATTTTCTGAGTCAGTTGCATTATGCATGGTAAATCTCCAAAGTTTAAGTATTTCCAATTGTGAGATGTTAGAGGAAATTGTTTCAATGGACATTAAAGAAAATGAAATTACCCAGATGCTTGAGTTCCCAAAACTACAGACAATCCACCTTGAGGAATTAAGAAATTTTAGGAGCTTTAGATGTGGTTCTAACAAGACTGTTGGTGAGCTCAATCCACTATTCAAACAGGTAAATGTTTTTCTTTAGTATGTTTGTATGAAGCCACATTTCTTATAAAACACATAAATATTATGAATTCTAATCGATATAAAAATTATTAATAAGAAAATACAAGTCTCGTTTCTCAATTTCTAATTAATTCATACACAACCTTTATTTTATGAAGCATGTAGTCCAACCCTTAAAAAAAATTTACAAATAAGTTTTAAATGACACGCTAATATTTCCCATACCTTTCATTAACAAAGTTTGTAATTTATCACCTTATATTCTGTAATCTTAAGAAAACTTTCTACAAATTAATGCTTCTTTAATTTCCTAATTATTTGAGGCATTATATTTCACTCCAGAAATGATGAACTACAGAACTAGTTTATATAATTAAAGCCTTTCTGTAGGGACTTCAAGGAGTTTTTGGTCCCAAACCTTTCACTTTTGGTCCTAACGGCATAGATTTGGGACCTTAATGCCAAAAAATAAAAGTTTCAGAACCAAAAATGCATGAAGGGCAAAGGTTTAGGACCATTTGTGTACATGTGATAATCACCAATGGTCTTGATCAATAGCATGTAATATAAAACCCATTATTTTCCCTTGCCGGGATGGGCTAGTGATCAACTCCAACAATTTATTTTTTTCATGAATATTTTCAAAAAATCAAGACAGGCTCTCAGCACCCACAGATCGAACACATGTTCAGACTTGGGTTGATCTTTACATTCTCTAATGGGTTCTATGGCTCTATATTTCACGTTTCCATAATTTTTTATTAATATACAGTTATTTTCGTTGTTATTTATATATGCTAATTCATCTCAAGGTTTTAATTAATTTTACAAAGTTTAAGGTGATGTTCAAAATTCTTAAGTTCTTTGATTACATAATTTTAGCTGACACATTAAGTAAATTTCTTGCAGGTTACATTTCCTAACTTGGAACTGTTGCACATTAGTGGACTGGGTCGTAATGTGAAAATATTGGATGAACTAAGGCAAATCAGATCTCATAAACTAACAGAATTGCGGGTGGGAAAATTGGATGATGTTTACATTCTGTTTGACTTTGAGTATAAAAAAGATGATGTAGAAATTAGTATACTTAGTCAATTAAAATCATTGGCTCTGACATCTCTACCCGATTTAGTGCACATTACAAGGATGGTTCCTAAAAGAATTTATATCTTTGAGAATTTGAGACATGTTCTTATTGGAGTATGTCACAACTTAAGGTACTTATTCTCACCTTCGATGGCCAATTCACTTGCAGCTCTGGAAAATTTGTGGGTTCTGGGATGTAAAGAACTTGAAGAGATTATTGGAGGACAAGAAGAAGATGGCACTTCAAACACCAAAATTGTGGAAGAAAGAAGAACAAGCAGAATTGTGTTTCCTAAATTGAGAAACCTAGGACTTCTTCATCTTGATAGATTCAGATTGCTTTCCTCTCAAAACCATGAATTCGTGTTCCCTTCACTAGAGTATCTGCACATTCAAAATTGCCCTATGATTGCAAAATTGTGTCCAAGACAACTAAGTGTACCAAAGCTTGATAAAGTATGGATAAACTTCGAACAATCCGTTGATATTTCAAATTTCTTGAATTTAGAAGGTATACAAGTGTCTTCTTGATTCCCAAGTTACAACATCTACCCGGTTATATACACTATAATATACAATATTAATTAATGTGTGAATAATTGATAAATTAACATCCTTTGTTTCTTGGGCTCAATACAGATGTCAGAGGACCACATATTTGTTGATACTTCCAGTGTTCTCGAGGATGCAGGTACACACTTCCAACATATAGTTGAATATATATGTTGTAATTGTTTGTACATTAATAATTATTGTATGAATAATTGGAAAATTAATATGCTCTGTTCCTTAGGCTTTCTGCCGTGAGCAGTTGAAACATAATTTTTATTATAGAACGAAAGAAAATTTATTCACTAATGTATGAATTGCTGCCAAATTAATAATGACTACTTCCCCCTAATGACCTCTTTTTTAATCTCCTGAGGAGCTTTTAGAAAATTTCTCATTTACTTATTTAACAAGTAATGAGCATTCTTTCTACTATTTGAAGTAAAAAGTATAAATGGCTGATGTAATCATGTTAGTAGGATTAGTTTATCACTGTTTTGTTAGGATTTATGTATAATTAATGAGGAGCCTGATGTTATTAGTGACAGAATGAGGCACGGCTAAAAAGCTGGTTAATGGTGTCTGGATGGATGGATGGATGGATGAAAGCACCAGGCAACTTCCAAATTCCGGTAATTGCTTTCTAGGCTTTTAGTTCTGAGGGGGAATCAGTTTCAATGGAAGGTACAAACAGTTGCTGTTGAAGCAACTAGTTGGTTTTTTAATCAGGAATTCAATACCAAGATTTTTGTATCCTAAATATGTGTGATTGTTTTGGTCCTCCCAAAACTTCATTTAAGAAGCTTGTTATCAAGATGAAACCAGTTATTTCCTTTTCTAATGGTGTTAAGAATTCGTTTCCTGTCTTTTCTTTGCTACTCAAAATAAAATAATAAAACGTTGAATATCAAATAATAATCTGTTTCATCATATGGTAGCCACTAGGCATAATACATTAGTGGTATGTTCAGAAGAAAAAAACTTGTAAAATTGTTTTATATGGATGACAGATTGAAGAATTAGTACAAGAAAGCAGAATGATAAGATTACAAAAATTCAAATCCATTAAAAATGGTGTCAGAGGATCAATTTCACTGTTATAAAAAAGAAGTTCTTTAACAATAAGATGAATGGGAACATTTTTATTCTCTCGCAAATTGTTTTTATTATTTTATCAATTCGCTTTGTTGCATCCTGAAATATTTGAGAGACAGAGAATAAATGAATTAAGCTCGATGAGAAAATATGTTCATGAATTTCTAGCTCTAGCTTCAATGTAAATTGTAAAAACAAATGTGGCATTCTCGGATGCTACATCTTAATCATTCTCAAATTTGGAGTCAAGCATCAACAAAAGTTCCCATAAATCATACAATTAAATTTGAAACATGAAATTCTTGTAACCCTCCTGGCACCAATAGTATCTTTCCTTATATTCATAGGAAAACTTATGAATGATGCAAAATGGGGAAATTTCTTGAAAACTCGGACTTCTTTCTTTCCTCGAAATTGCAAGATTTCTATTTATCTGCATATTGTGAAGGGAAACTATTCATGGAATAAACATAAAAATGGATCACTAGACACAAGCAATGGATTTGATACAGCAAAATTTGTTAAGGAAACAAATGTCTCAAACTGTGGCAACATCAAAGCAAACAGATTGGGCCAATGACAGTGCTTAACAGCCCTGTTTTTACTCTTCAACCTACAAAAATTTCCTTGTAATTAGCATATGATTGTATATATTCTGTGGCATTCAGATAATAAAATCGCAGCTTTCCTCACTAAATTGTTCAAAATCTTCATGTATGTATGTGTGTTTGTTCCAAATCACAGCATGAAATTTTTTTCCTTTCGTAGTTTTTTTGGAGGGAAATGGACTTCACAAAAATGCTCCTTTAAAAGAAGTCCTGCACATGGTATATGTCTGTTTATAGAAAATTTAAAATTTTCTGTCTCCTCTAATAAGACTTAACTTGTGGATAGTTAAGAGCAGAGCCAGTCCTTTGGCCAGGCAAACGAGGCCTGTGCCTCAGGCCCAAGACCATAGGGGGCCTATTTTGGGCCAAATTTTTATTTTCTTTTTTTTAATATTAGAAGAAGGAAAAAAATAGTTTTTTCATTAATTGCGAGATGATTGAGATATTTGTTTGTTGTTCTAATGTTAAGTTTTAAGTTGGGAATATTTTGTATAATAAATCGTTGAATTTTGCATTTACGTTGATTTTGGGGGGCCTAATTTTTGGACTTTGCCTCGGGCCTCGACAAACAAAGGACCGGCTCTGGTTAAGAGATTTGAAAATGAAAAAAAAAATTAAAATCGATGGACCAACCTGCTTTAAGCAACAACATTTGAGGAATGTTGAGGATGAACTATAAAATTTTCCAGACTCAAACAATTATAGGACTGTTTACAGATAATTTAACTGTTTCCTATGACTAAAAAAATTTTAATAGCGTACCAGAAAATTATTTTTTTCGGTAATGCATTATTCTTTACCATTAGTATGAACTACTCAACCTTCTACAAGACTGAGGATTAAACTACTCGACATAATACCCGACCGAGGACATCCCCATCCTCAATCTGTGAACGGAATGTATATCACTAGCATATTAGTCGTTTTTTGTCTCTAAATATGACCTATAGGTGTGATAACGGCTATGGAGTCTAGAAACTCTACTTCCGACTTGTTAAAGGCGCGAGACCGTCCTTACATAAAAAACCCTGCTCCTCACATTTATATGCTATTTCTCTCCACCTATATGATATATCTGACGGGAGCAGCTTAGCACGGCCTTCTATGGAGGATGTTACAAAAAAGCAAGAATAGGCAATAAAAATGATACACAGATTTACGTGAAAATCCTAGATGAAAAAAACCACGGGCAAAAGCGAAGAAATCCATTATATAAAAAATGAGTACGTGGGATGATAGTTTTGATGGATACACTCAATAATAATGCAATGAAACCCTAAAATACATCACATATACATATAAGTTGCGAGAATAATAAAGCATGTCCATACCATAGAGCTTCATTTTTAGTGTGACTTTTGATTAAATCCCTACCTGATCTTCATTTTTAGAACAGATTTTGTAATAAAAAAAGGTAATTTTTTAGAGATTGTGTGGTTAAAAAAGCAAGAAATTTTTGGATTTTCGTGCAAAAATTATTCTATTACGAGAATGCTTGGTTTAAAATGAGTTTGAAAGAATGGAGATCAAACATGAGCTATTTAATTTAGAATCTTCAAATCACAATGTATGTGGTTTTCCCTACTCTACTTATAATTTTTTCATCATCCTCTGCTTTCATACATTTTAAGTATGTCTACCTCCATCCATGCTAAACAAATGAAAATGCTGATACAGTTAACGATAAATATAATGTAACATGATAATTTTTGTCAGTGTATTGTTTTTATTGTTGAGTTATTGTTAGATATGGGTGTTTCCTGCCTTCCTTCTAGGTAATGGGTGCATCTCAACATTAACTTGAAAGCAACTTATATTAAGTCAAAGAAATTACTGCATGATTCATCTACATGCTTGGGAGTAATTTATTAAAAAAATAAAATAAAATAAAATAAAAAATGAATGATGAATAAATGAGTATTACTTAGATATACCATGAAATTTGTGGATATAAAGTGGTTTAACTGTTTATAAGGAAATTATAAACATTGGCCAAACGTGGGCTTATCAAAAAACTTTCGTATTTGCTTGATAATATGTGCACATCAAAATAACACAGATCTATGTGCTTTTGAGTGAAATCTTGGTTATGTTAAGGGATAAAATTCCACATCAATTAAGGATGAAAACATAAACCAACTTATAAGGTCTTGGGCTACTCCTCTTAATTGCTAAGACTTAGGATCCCATCTTATAAGGTCAGCATTATTAAGAGGAGTAGCTCAAGACATTATAAGTTGGTCTATATTTTCATCTTTATTTGATGTGAGATTATGTCCCTTAACGTTCCCCCGCAAGATGGTGGCTCATTTAAGCAAATCAATTTTAAAATCCATGCACTCATTTTTTTAGCCTTAATCGGATCAAACCGCTCGTTAGAGTTTAATGAGTTCCGATACCATGTTAAGACTTAGGATAGCATGTTAAAGGATATAATCCCACATCGAACAATGATGAAAACATACACCAACTTATATGGTCTTGAGCTACTACTCTTAAGAAGGTTGATCTTATGAGATGGAACCCCAAATCTTAACATGGTATCAGAGTAGTGTAAAACTTTGTTGAAGTGAAATGCTGATTGTGGAGTGTTTAGGGAGAAAGAACCCGTGTTTTGGATTTTGAGGCCATTACCATTACCCACAGCTACTAATTCATTCCCACCATATTTCTCTTGAAGAGTAAGAGTTGCCACGTCATTTGTAATATGCTGATTTGCTCCGCTGTCGGCATACCAAGTGTTATCTTTATGAAGTCCATTGTTATGAGCTACCACAGCAGCAAGTTATGAAGGTGGATACCATTCTTGATAACTATAATCCATCCTATGGAAACGATCCAGGGCCTCATGGTTTGTTTATCCCCAAATCTAGCATGGCATGCATATAGTAGTTGAAAATTTTCATTGAGAAGACTGTGAATTAGAAGAGCTATTATTGAGATTCGATGGTTGCATCGAAAAGGTGAAATTTTTTTGTTTGGCATGCGGATTGCCATGCTGAAATTGCCTGCGATTAGGAGAAAAGCTATAATTCTTCGGCTTCCTTGGACCATTGTGAGAATGGTTTTTGGTGGTAGCAAGCATTGCAAAATTCTATTTCTCCATGATAGCATGCTGACTTTGACTTTCAAGAAGAGCCTCATATGATAATAGTTCAAATTGAAACTCATTATATTTTTCTGTAGAGCAAATGAACAAGAGGCAATAAGAGCGTCGAAGGATGGATTTAGGCCTCCTATAATATAAGAGATCAGATCATCCTCATCTATAGGCTTTTTGGCGGTAGCAAGATGGTTTGCACATATCTTTGCATTATTCAAGAACTCAGTGCAATTCTTCCCTCCTTGGTGTAAACTCTGTAGTTGTCGTTTAAAGATGCTGACTTTGGAACGTGCTTGAGACACGTATTTGATGGCTAAGGGTGTCCAAACTTGCTTAGCAGAGTTTGAACCATACACAGATGGTAAAACTTGGTATGTAAGTATGGAGTTGAGAAGTCCAAGAACAAACTAATCCTTCTTGTGCCAAAGTAGGAAGGCAAGATTGATTTCCGTTGTTCGCTTGTTCTGATCATCAAGTAAGTATTTCTCTGGGTATGGTTCAGATCCATACACAAAGCCTAGGAGATCATGACTTCTCAATGCAGGAACACACTGAAAGGTCTAATTCAAATAGTTTCCACCATCCATTTTCACCAAAACGAGTTAAGAGATGTTTGGTGCCTTGAAAATGACGAGAGTGGTGGTGTTTGAAGAGGCCATTTGCTTTAGGATCAAGCATGAGCAAAAGAAGGCTCTGATACCATGTTAAAACTTGAGATTTCATTTTATAAGGTCAATATTATTAAGAGGAGTAGTTTAAAATTTTATAAGTTGGTCTATATTTCATCTTTATTCGATGTGGGATTATATCCCTTAACAAATTAGCGAAATACTAACTCAAATAGGATCGACGGGATTGAGACATTTATCATCGATTTATGTCGTAAATTATTTGTCATTATGTTAGTTTGGACTTTCTGAAACACGTAGGAAAACATGTATTGGAATTCTTTTTCTAACAAGTGGTGTGGATGATTAAAATGACGTGAAAATTCTAGATCAACTTAAGAAATT